TAATAAAATATATTTAAAATAAAAAATAAAATAAAAAAAGAAAATGCTTCATGTGCATTTGAAAAGAATGGGTATGTTGCTTATTTGGGATGAAAGGCTCGCTATATATATCAGTGAAGTCCATTTGATCTAGGGCATTGTTCAGTGATGCAATATTTTTTTGATATTTTGTTTGGAAGATCTATCCATTTTTGACAGTGAGATGTTAAAATCCCTTCTATATGTGTTTTGCTCTCTATATCTTTCTTGAATTCCTCCAAGATTTTTTATAGGGATTAGGTCAAGCAATGAAGAGGTCAACAATGATATCAAAGAAGAAATCAAAAGATACCTCAAAACAAATGAAAATGAGAACCCAATAACCCTAAATGTGGGACACAGCTTAAGCAGTCCTAAGAGGAAAAGTCACAACATTACAGGTCTATCTTAAGAAACAAGAAAAACTTAAATAAATATCATAACCCTACATCTAAGTGACTAGAAAAAGAATAACAAACAAAGCTCAGAGTGGGTAGAAGGGAGGTAATAATCAGGTTTAGAACAGAAATAAATGCCACAGAAACTGAAAACAAAATTTAAAGGATAAATGAATCCAGGAGCTGGTTCATTGAAAAGATAAACAAAATTGATGGACCTTTGACCAGACTCATCCAGAGTAAAAGAGAGAAGACCCAAACAAAATCAGAAATGAAAAAGGAGAAGTAACAACTGACACCAAAGAGATACAGTAGACTGCAAGAAAATGTTACAAAAAACTATATACCAACAAATTGGACATCTGGACAAAAGGGATAAATTTCTAGAAATACACAATCTTTGCAACTAAATCAGGAAGAATAAGAGAATCTGAATAGACAGATTACACCTAGTGAAATTGCAGTAGTAATAAAAAAACTCCCAACAAACAATAGCCCTGGACCAGAAGCCTTCACAGGAGAGTTTTACCAAACATTCCAAAAAGAAATAGCACCTCTTCTTCTCAAACTATCCAAAAAATTTAAGAGGAGGAAAGACTCTCAAGTTCACCTTATGAGGCCAGCATAATCTTAATTCCAAAACCATATAAAAACACTACAAAAAAAGAAAATTATAAACTAATACCCCTGATGAATGCCATAAACAAAATATTAGCAAACTGAATACAGCAATACATCAAAAAGATTATCCACCAAGTTGGGTTTATTCTGGGTATTCAAGTTTGCTACACTATTCACAAATCAGTAAATATGATATACTACATAAGCAAAATGAAGGATAAAAATCACATGATTAGTAAAGATAAAGGATTTGATAAAATCCAGCACCCATTATGATAAAAAAAAAACCTCTCAGCAAAGTGGGAATTGAGGGAATATACCTAAAAGTAATAAAGGCCATGAATGACAAACCCATTGCCTGCATCATACGTAATTGGCAAAAACTGCAAGCATTTGCCTTAAGATTGGGAACAAAACTGGGTTGTCTGTGTTCACCTCTCTTATTCAGCATAGTACTGCAAGTCCTATCCACAGCAATCAGACAGAAGAAATAAAAGGCATGCAAATTAGAAAGTTAGAAGTAACACTGTCTTTATTTGCAGATGGCATGATACTGTACATAGAGAACCCAAATATTCCACCATGAAACTAGTAGAACTGATAGATGAATTCAAAAAAGTAGCAGGATATAAAATTAATATCCTGAAATCAGTTGGACTTTTATATGTCAAAAATGAAATATTAGAAAGGGAAATTAAGAAAACAGTCCTATTCACAATTGCTTCAAAACTAATAAAATACCTAGGAATAAATCTAACCAAGGGCGTAAAAGACCTGTCCTTGGAAAATTACAAGACACTGAAGAGAGAAATAAATGAAGATACAAATAAGTGGAAGCACATACCATGTTCATGGATAGGAAGAATTAGCATCATTAAAACGTTCATACTACCCAAATCAATCTATAGACTCAGTGTAATTTCTATCAAGATACCAATGGTGTGTTTCATAGAACTAGAACAAAAATTTCAAAAATGTATATGGAACCATAAAAGGTTGTGCTGTATAGCAACAGCAATCTTGAGAAATAACAAAATTGTAGTAACCATGCTACCTAATATCAAACTATACTATACAGCCATAGTAATCAAAACAGCATGGTACTGGCACATAACATTGACACTTAAACCAATGGAACAGAATAGAGAGCCCAGAAATAAACCAACACCTTTATAGTCAATTAATATTTGACAGAGAAAGCAAGCTCATACAATGGACTAAAGATAGTTTATTCAATCAATGGTATCAGTAAAATTGGATAGATACATGCAGAAAAATGAAAGACTGCCTTCTTATGCCATGTGCAAGAATAAATTCAACAATAAGAAATGAAAAATAATAGGTACATGATGAAATCTTGTTGGAAATTGACCATTTGCATTTTTCTAATTGGTCTGTTTCTCTGGCATCAGAGTTACATCTAGTTCTTTCAACAATTTACTAGCTCCTTTTCTCTGTAAACTTCAGGAAATATTATAATTCAGTAACAAGTTTGGCAAGGGATTACTGTGAACTTATTCCTGTTTTTTTTAACAGTGATTAAAGAGCATAAGTAGGCTAACCTAGTAAGAGTGATAATGTTATGAAGAGAAGACTGTTAAATTTCCAGATTTCATATGTAGTAGTCATGGTTTCTCTGGTTATGGAATAAGCTCCCAGAATTGATCAGAAAGCCCCCTGTGAAGATGAGGCAGAACAACAGCAAAAAAAAAAGTCATATTATGTGGATCTCTAACCTTACAAGTTTTCTTTATACTACTTAGATGCCAAGCATCTGAATAAACAGTAGATAATTTATCATAAGTAGACAGAACTACAAAGTCTATGACAACTCTGAAATTTTTGTTTCAAATTTACCTAATTTATATTTGAACTGAACATTACTGAAAAAATAAGAAGCAAACAATGTACCTTCATAGAAAGATTGTAATTTTGCAACTAAACAAGAATAAATGTTAATTGCAGTTTTGCCGCTTTGCTGCCAGCATTGAAAATAAAAATAAAAATAAAAATTTTTTATTATAAGTAAAAAATAAAAATTCTTTTTAAAGCATATTTTATTGATCACACTATTACAGTTATCCCATTTTTTCTCCCCTTTATTCCCCTCCACCCTGCACCACCCCAACATCACCTTTCAGCATTGCCCCCACTGCTTAGTTCATGTCTGTGGGTCTTACATATATGTTCTTGGGTCCTCAATTTGCTATACTATTCTTAACTGCCCCCTTAATCTTTGATTTTAGGGAATTATGACATGTCTTGGTGTGTTCCTTCTTGGGTCCAATTTCTTTGGGACTCTCTGAGCTTCCTGGACTTGCATATGTATTTCCTTTGCCAGATTGGAGAAGTTTTTCTTCATTATTTTTTCCAAATAAATTTTCAATTTCTTGCTCCTCACCTTTTCCTTCTGGCAAACCTATGATTCAGATGTTGTAATGTTTAAAGTTGTCTCGGATGTTCTTAAGGCTCTACTCATTGTTTTTGAATTCTTATTTGCTCATTCTCTTCCAGTTGAATGTTTATTTCTTCCTTTTGTTCTAAATCATTGATTTGAGTCCTGGTTTCCTTCCCTTCACTATTGGTTCCCTGTATATATTTTTTTATTTCACTTTGTATAGCTTTCACTTCTTCCTTTGTTTTGTATCCATACTGAGTCATTTCTTTGAGCATCTTGGTTACCAGTGTTTTGAACTCTGAATCTGATAGGTTGTCTCCTTGTTGCTTAGTTGTTTTTCTGAGTCTTTGTTCTATTCTATCATTTGTACCATATTTCTTTGTCTGGGTGCACCTGTTACATTGTAAGGAGTGGAGCCTTGGGTATTCACCAGGGCAGGGCAACCCACGTTGCTGGGTTGTAGTGCTGTATGTGGGGGAGGGGTCATAAAGGGAACAATGCTGCTTGCCTGGCTCTCACCCTGAGAGCCAGGCTTTCAGTCACTTCCCCCACTACCCACAAGTGAATTGGACCCTTCTGGTGCTGATTCCCAGTGGGTAGGTTTGTGTAGATTTTAGGATCCTGTGGATCCCTCTAACATACTCTCCTGTGAGACTAGGAGTTTCTTCCAGCTCCAGAACCCCCATAGCTTTTTACAGCCAGAGGTTTTGAAGCTTAATTTCTCTGCTGTGGAACCCTGGGTTGTGCGGTCTCTCTCTCCCCAGCTGTTCCTCCCAGTTTATCCACAAGTGAATGTGGACTGCCCTGTCTGCCAACTGCTGCCTTGCTGTGAGTCCTCTTTACTCTGGCTGCCTGTCTCTACCCCTCCTACCAGTGTGGATGAATATTTCTTCTTTAACTCCTTGGTTATCAGATTTCCATACAGTTCAATTTTCTGGCAGTTCTCATTGTTTTTTGCTTCTGAATTGGTGGTTGTCCTTTGGGTTGTTCAAGGTAGCAAAGCATATCTTCCTATGCCTCCATCTTGGCTGGAAAAAATAAAAATTCTTTACTTCAGTTTCTTCTTTGTAAAACAGAAGTATATGTCTGTCATGTAGTGCTATTTTCAGAATGAGAAATATTAGTGCCTATGTTAGATATTTATTTTTAAAAAGATTTTATTTATTTATTTTTAGAGTGAGAAGAAGGGAAGGACAAAAAGGGGGAGAGAAATATCAATGTGTGGTTGCCTCTCACAGGCCCCCTACTGAGGACCTGGCTGGCAACCCAGGCATGTGCTGTGACTGGAAATTGAACCAGTAACCCTTTGATTCACAGGCTGGCTCTCAATTCACTGAGCCACACCAGCCAGGGCATAGATACTTATTTAATAATGTGTATTATCATTATGGTTTTTAATAATATATTGTTATTTATCTTATGTCCTCACTAATAACTAAATGCTGCTTGAGTACATAGTACATTTTATTATTTATATAGCTGTCACTACATAATAAGTGTGAAGAAAATATAATGCTGATTTGACATAAATTTAGATATTTTAATTTTAATTTTCTTTCTTTCAGAATTACTTACTGTCATCTACCTTTCCAGAGTAAATGGCTCTATGTTGGAACAGAAAGAGGAAATACACATATTGTAAATATTGAATCTTTCATTCTTTCTGGATATGTTATCATGTGGAACAAGGCAATTGAACTGTAAGTGTAAACTTGAGTATTACTTTATTTAGCTTAAATATTTCTTATGGCTTGTAACATATATAAAGTTGCAGTTATTTGAAACTTTAAAACTAATTTATGATTAATATGAGTGAAAATTCAAAATAATTTGAAAACATAAAGGCTTTTTACAATAAATATTGTAGTATTAACACATGCTAATTTTAGATTTTCCAAATACTGTAAATAAGTATATATGTGCCATATTTGATGATAAAATATTAATTCTAAAAGTTACACATGGCAATTCATCACATTCTTTACATTCAAATTTAGCTACTCCATTGAGAATGGCAAAGGATTGTGGCTACAGTTAGTTTTATGTAAGAATAATCATGATCAGGTCCCATACAGGATGGGACAAAAGTAGGTGTACAGTTGTGAGTATGCAAAGCAGTCTATTCTTGAATTATTAATAATTAATTATTGTATTTTCCATATGAACAACTGTAAACCTACTTTTTAAATATTGATAGCTTATTCTTCATTTGCCTCATTAACGTATTTTTTGGCGCTCAAAGTAGAATCAGTTTATTAGTATTTTTATGTTGTGATGTATATAGCTGTTTGGTATGTGGTTGATGGTAATGACTACTTTGATACTGATATTTACATTTCTGCAGGTATAAAATATGAAATCCCCCACATATGAAACTTCATGGAATTCTAAGCCATCTATTTCTAGTATATGCACAGATAAGTGTCCTGGTTAATTAGAAAAACAATTTTTCTTTAATAAATGTTTATGCTCTATGCATTATTCGTTCCTTTATATGATAAAGTTTTGACTTGAATCTGGCTCATTCTCTCATATTCTCTCATAAGTGCATAAATTATTCTTCCCCAAAACACTGATTAAAACAGACTATTTTCATAAAGTTTGACCCTTGACTGTTCCATACTGCCAGTGTTTCAACCTACACATATATTACTTAATAAGGAGGATTGTTTCTAGTTATAGTCTTATTGCAATATTCTTTTTGTATTATGTCTTAGTGAGTTTTTTATAAATGACAATTTTTTCTCTGTCATTAGATTAAGAGATGCTTCAAGGCAGAATTTTTGTTTATTGCTCTTTTCTTTCTCTTCTCACGTGGTTTATTTTGGCACTTTCTACAGAGTGGCTACTAAATGACTGACATAACCGAAGAGTTGGTATGACAGTGTTGACTTACAGTTTTCATTTGTAATTATATTTGTTATAGCTATTTTTATTACATATATTTTATCATTATGTGTATTTTTAAAGACATTTCTCCTATAAACAATTATGTCTCCACCAAAAAAGATATTTACTTTTTTTAACTATTTGGTAATGGGTTTTTGCCCTATAATCTTAGTCCTATAATAGCAATAGACAGACTGACAACAAACATTGTATTTAAAAAGTATTTCACCTGGCTGGTTCTCAGTGGTTGGCGCGCCATGGTTCGATCCCCACCCTTTCTGGTTCCCCAAAGGCAACCATACATTGATGTTTCTCTCCCTCTCTCCTTCCCTTCCCCTCTAAAGATAAATAAATAAAAATCTTTAAAAAAAAAAAAGTATTTCAAAATAATTTCACATATCTCTTAAATATCTCTTATTTATTAATGCTTGTTTTCATAGTATTGTTTTAGGATACGATAAAAACACAAGTAAACCTGAGAGATCCAATTATAGAACTTTTATAAAATTTAATAGTAATAAATCATAACAGATGTATTATTTGTGTTCAGTTGAATGATGGTAAAATAATTAAGAAGAGTTAATTATCTGAACAGGTAAAATATTTTATCACTTTTTCAGTGTTGTTTCCACATTCATTTACTTAACAAATCCTTTTCTTAATCCAAATTAATACTACCTGAAATAGTGACTTACACTCTGCCTATTTATAGCTATATAATCTATACATTATGATTTTAGGACTAATGAAGAGTTTTAAAATGTATATTATAAAGGAGGGGAAATTCAGGAAAAATTAAAGTAAAATAAAGTACTTTTATTTTTCATAATATGATCCTACACATGTAACTTGGCATCAGAATAGAATCTAACATCTATATGAATCCATTGTTTTAAAGAGTTGTGCATACCTCTGAAAATGTCCATGAAATATTCACATCCTAACTGTTTTTTGGTTTACTCACTAGATTTCCAAAAGGGTATTTTCATTTTTTATAAACATAATTTTATTTTATTTTTTAAGAGTCCTGGAGATTTTTATATAAGCTCGACAACATTCATTTTAATAATAAAATATGTGTATACAAATAGAACATAGTTATTATTTCTTTATTTGACAAAGCTTCCCATGTACTTTAAGCATATCAAGTAGGTCTAATTAGTTCAAAATTTCTTGTTCATAAGGAGAAAGAACAAATCCCCGAGGCATTCCAGGGATGCTTTGGAATGACTCAAAGCCAATTTTAGGTCAAGAAAAGTCTCTTAAAAGTTGAACCCTGGGAAAGTTGTCAAACATATTTGACCAAAAGATTATATATCATTATGAAATAATGTTATTTATTTATCCAAAGTGACAATAAAGCTGTCAAACATAAATACAGGCTAGCCAAATTTTAGTTAAGATAAAGAATATGAGTTTTTAAGTAATCAAGTGCCTGATTAATACAATGTAATACATAACCATTTAAAAATATATATATAGAATCTTTGCTTTCTAGGCATATACAGTAAAACCTGGATACAATTTTAAATACTGACTTCCAATCTCCCAGAGTCTTTTAAATGCTCTCTACCTCTTGAGACACGGAAGAAAATGCATGCTACTTACTGTTATATGTCGAGTATATGGGACAATAAAAATACGTTTAATTAAAAAGTTATTTTACCATAGAATTTTATTTTTATTTATTTTTAATTTTTATTTATTTATCTTTAGAAGGGAAGGGAAGGAGAGAAGAGGAGAAACATCAGTGTATGGTTGCTTCTGGTGCGTCCCCTGCTGGGAACTGGCCCCTGCTAGGAACTGGCCTGCAACTCAGGCATGTGCCCTGACTGGGAGTCGAACGGCGATCTTTTGGTTCGCAGGCCCGCGTTCAATCCACTGAACTACACCAGCCAGGGCTACAATAGAATTTTAGACACAAATTTTAACAATGCATTTTCTAAATATGACAATTGCAGAATTGCCTTTAAGAGATATGTGAAATTATTTTGAAGTCCTTACTTGAAATCCTTTTTTATTTGATGTTTGTTATTCACCATGTTTTTATTTTTGTAAAGTCTCCCAATTGTAATTATATTTAATTCTCAAAAAAGAAAATATATTGATGATTTGGAAATTGGAAGACACTTTCCATATAAACAGTAATGTTTGTAGAATATCTCACCTATAGCCATACCACCTTGAACACACCTGATCTCATCTGTAGAACATCTCACAAAATAGTATTATAGAACAAAACTAACATTAAAAATATTTCTGTGGGAAAATATATTCTAGTTTTTAGCACAGAAATAGCTGTTTCTGTAGGGTAGCCCTAGCTCTTTAAAAAAGGTAACTTATGTTTTTCTACATATTAAAATGTGAACATGAAATCCTGAATTAAATCATAAATATAAGTTTTTAAAAAATATTTAACTACTGCTCATTCATACATACTTATTGAGTAGTATGATATGGTAAATACATAATTTCTGCTTTCTTGGGGGCTTCCATTCTAATAAGGATGAGATTATGTAAAAGGGCAATTACAATGTACTAGAAATATATTTCTAGTGTGGCAATTCCATGAGGACACCTAATAAAGACATGGGGTCTCACAGAAGTATCTGTGAAGTAAGTTACATCTGTGCTGAGATCTGAAGGATGAGTTTCAGTCAGATGAGTGAAGAACTGAGGGGAGGCAAGAGGGTATTGCAGGAAGTGGGAACAGAGGCTGAAAGGATGGAAATGTGAGAGAGTTTTTGTTCCATGTCCAGTTTTAAGTAGTTTAGTTGGTTGAAATGGTTTGGGGAGAGGATAGCAAAAGGTAAAACTGAGGAAGTAATCTGGGTATATAACATGACAGGTCTTATAAGACAATTTGAGAAGTTTGGACTTTTTCTAAGGTCAGAAGCTTTAAGCAGAGAATTGACTGGATCAAATTTGCATTTTGGAAGATTACTCTGAATGCAGGTATGGAGAAATGAGAAAAGACTGTATTCTCCATGAATATTATGATGGTGAATTTTGGAGTAGAGATAAGTTGACATAGTGAAGAAGTAAAAGATAGAAGTGGCAAGACTTGGGTACTATGGGAAGATATAAAGATAATAGGGAGGAATTAAAAGTGACCCCCAGATGTTTGGTGTAAGCAACTGTGTATAGGTTAGGGTGCCACTTAGTGAAGGAATGCAAGAGATTGAATAGGTTGGAAATAAAATAATGAGTTCAATTTTAGGTTGGTCGATTGTATGTATTTAGAAAACATTCACCTAAATTTGTATGGGAGAATGGTAGGATGTGGTAAACAGGGTGGGGCAAAAGTAGGTTTACTGTTGTGAGTATGTGAAACAGTTTATTCTTCTATAATTATTAACTATTTATTGTTAATGAGAACAGAATTCTCATTCTCATTGAAACCATGAGAATAGGTAAGATTGTTCATGAAGAGTTTATAGGAAAGAGGTAGCAAACTAGTTAGATAATGAACCAATTCACAGATATGTTTTGTTTGGCCATCAGAATATTTAAATATGTCTGAATTATTAATTTGTAACATTTAAAAAGTTATAGAGATAAAAATTCAGATTTTCAGCTTTTCATGAAAAAGGTTCATGATGGGACAATTCTAGTCCAGCATTCTTGCCTGGCAGTCAGTGATTAACTGGAAATGAGTTATATTTATTGCTATTAGATGGGTAATATGCTATCCAGTTTATCCAGCCTATTTAACTCATTTGAAATACCTGCCTGGCTCCTATGGGCCCTTGAATTCATAACCACATCTAATAGCGGAATAGATGGCAGTCTAGGACAGAAGACAAAAGAATACCAATATTTAAGGTATAGAAACAGAAAGTTCATGAAGGAAATTATCAAGAGCCATTGTGGTGAGTGGGAGAAAGAGAAATAAATAAGGATACTTAGAAGAATTACTGGGCATTATTTGATAGATATATATGAGTTTAAGTTTATTGATAATTTTACCTGATGTAATTTTTGTGGGATTTACAGAATCTGTAGTGTACAGATGCTATTTTTATTTTTAAAGTCAACTTTTAATGGCCATAAGTTTTGCAAGGAATGCTTGGTGATTTTTTTAGAAGTTTAATGTTAGGGAAGAGATCAGAAAAATACATCAAAATGTATTTTGTATCTAGGTATTGAAATAATGAGAGATTTTTCCTTTGAACTTTTGGTATTTTCTGGGTTTTATCTTTTACAATAAATTATTTTCTTATATCATTATAGAAATCATTATAAATAGTGGAGATTTAATGCTAGATTATTTTCTGAACTTGAGTGTTTTCTGGAGTCTGAGAACTTGAATGGAAATCTTGCAAATGGTCTAACTAGTGTTTCTCAAAGTATATTTCAGTGACTTCCTTAATATAATCAACAAAAAAGGATTCTGTTGATCAATAGTTTTAGAAAATATTGAACATTTGCATTGCTCATTTGCATAATATAGCCCTAAGAAGTTCTTTAGAAAAAGAAAACATTTAATTTCCCCATTCAGGGCTTCCCAAACTTTTTTTTTATATGAAACATTGTGCAGTGCCTTATATGTTCACTAGTTTATCATGGAGTACACTTTGGTATTTGTTGCTCCAATCAAACCCAAGAGAGAGATAGGAGTTTATGATTTGCTGGATATTATTAGTTCCACAAGGATAATTGAGGCACAATGTCCCTTCTCAGAGGCATTTATACTATAATAAAACACTACATTTATGTGTGATATAACTGTTAAAAGCTCTGTAAACTTTTATAAAACCTTGTTTAGTTTCTTTCTGCCTGCATATATTCCAGAATGCAAATAGTAACTCTGATTTCTATTATTCCAATGATTTACAACAATCATAATACATACTATTTATCGAGTACATACTATGTTTTGGCATTATATTAGGTGCTATATATATATATATCTTTTAATCCTCATAATCCTTCAGTAGGGTTAGTACAACTACCTCCATTTTCAGATGAGAAAATTTAGGACAGAGGCACTAACAAAATATCTAATAACTTTGTATTTATTCCTTTGAGTTACTCAGGGGAGTCAGTATCTGGGGAATCTGGAGCTACATAATTTGTCACTTTTCTCTGAATCCAAAGAGTTTCTAAAATTTTAATCTTTATTGCTTTGTACAGAATCTTTGAAGATTTTATGTGTTTTTTTAAAATAAATTATACTGTGTCAGTATAATCATAATGAAATTAATCTGGTGCACTTAGGTCATTGAAGAAAGAATGTGGAGATGTATGAAATCGGTGGTCATATCAGGTCATGTCATATTTAGTCATGGCACAATCACATTTAACAATGATCTAAGTTAAAGTAAGAAATATCAAATAAACATGCCAGATATCATAGTAGAATAAATTTAAATTCTGTGAATAAATATTCACAGAATAAAGATCTCTTTATCAATATGCTCTTAAACTCATAATGATGTGTTACTGATTACCCTAGAAACCAGATAAATGAAACATAACCAAAAAACTTTGTTTCCCTGGTTGTTTAGTGTTCTGTATGCTGGTTATCACTAGAGAGAGAGTTGTCTTTTAAATAGAAGGAACCTCTGTACTTTTTGTAGGCACAAATCAGAGATTTTATGTCAAAATGAAATTTTAAATTATTAACTTTTCCATTTGGTTGAAACAGGTTTACAGCATCACTCTTGTGGCTGTGTATGTTTTCCTTTGTTTGGATAAATATGTGTTTAATTTCAAATTTTCAGAGGCCCTGATTTGGCAACAAACACATAAGATAATAAAGAATCCCATTGTTACGTGGATCTAAGTTTTTAAACCTGATTTTTAAAAAAATCACACCTACTTCAATAACGTTAATAGGAAAGAGAAAAGTAATCTTAAAGAAAAACAACACAAAAGTCAAAATGAATTTAAACTGAACCCCAGAATATTGGAAGTGTATTCCAGTATAATCTTAGTTTCTTTGTACCTGTCTCTAGTGGTAAGATGTTTTAATGTTTATTTTTTAATTACTTTTTTAAATTGATTTAACAGATCCACAAAGACTCATCCAGGTCCAGTTGTACATTTAAGTGATAGCCCAAGAGATGAAGGGAAAGTGAGTATTCCAATACCATTATTTTTGCATTTATTTTCTTCATTCTTGAATAAAGATATTTCTTACTACTATTTGATATCTAACATCTCTAGCACAGTTCATGACATTCAGTGTCATTTAAGATTAGAATATGTTGAATGAATGAATGAGTGAGCAAATATTAATAAATGAATGAATGAGTTATTCACTCTAATAATGGTACCAAATTAAGTCTTTAGTTTTATCTAAAGGTAAAGTTGATATTTAATTGTAGAATGTTGAAGAAGGTGTGTAACACGTGGAACAATTTTAATTTTTGGATAATCTGTGCTTGAACTTAATTATAGTTAACAATATAGTTTTTAGTTTTGTTAATCATTTGCCTCTGCTATTCAGTTTTGATAATGACAAGTAACCAATATTGAATAATCATAAATTAGCCAATCTTGATTCTTATAAGTAGGCGATAATATAGAAAATGTTCTTAGATTATAGAAATAGTCCTATTTACCTTGATTATTCATAATTTTCTTTTGATGATAAGGAAACAAAGTTAATAATATAAAAATGTCTGAAGTGTCACTTTCATGTAAATATTATGTCTTCCAATATATAATTTTGGCTATAAAGTGTAAAAACACTTGAATAAATTAGTCTAGGTTGGGTTCTTTGTTTATTTTTAAATGATAGAAACTGAACTAACCTAATAAATATTGAACCCGAAAAACAAATTGGCCTCATGGCAGTAGAAAGAATATTGGATTTCTTCAAATTTATCCATAAATACGGTATAATTCCAATCAGACGTTATCAGAATTTATTTATTTTTAAAGAACTCAAAAGTTAATTCTAAAATTCATAAGAAAAAGAAAATATTTAAGAATAGTCAAGACATTTTTAAAAAAGAAATACATTGTGATATTGGCTCAAGGGTATAAAGAAGACCAATGGATATTCAAAAATGGTTCTGGCATTTGGGGGAATTTTGTACATTTTGGAGAAGTTGTTTTAGAACATGATATACTATTGAGTAAATGGTGTTGGACAGTTGGCTATTTGTTTTAAACAAAATGGTATGTATGACCTCTACCTCATACCACTCAGAAATAAATTCTAGAAGGAGGAAACACATATATATTAAAATCACAACTCAAGAAGTTTTGAAAGAAACTGTAGGAAATGGGGCCTTACTGTGGAATAAGGATATCCTCAGGCAAGACACAAAGCCTGAAAGCTTTAAGGACTATAGAATAACAAGACAATCATGATAAGAGACAAGCATCAAAGTAGGGGCAGTATTTGCTACATATACAGCAAGAAAATAATGAATATGCAAAATATGTAAAGAACTTTACTAGATTCTTTTATTTCATAATAGAAAATAAGTAATGTCTAATTAATAAAACAAGAAGTGGCAATATACATATATTTAGAAGCATAGAAGAGTAAGTCTACTAGAAAAGGGGTTTAAGAGCTGAAGGTGTGGTTGCCTTTTTTACCTTTAAGAGAGCAGGGTGTGGTAGTGAGGAGGAAACAACTTCACTAGTAATCACTAAGGAAATGCAATATACTGTTTTCTTCCTAATCAGAGTGGCAAAATATTAAAAATTAAAATAATAATATTAGGTAATGGAAAAGGCATTGAGAAATGGGCATCTAGAATCAGTAATATGGGCAATTTGGCATTATCAACATTTAAAACATGTATTTATTATGACCTGGAAAATCCATTTCTGATATCTAACCTATTTATATGATCAAGGGGCAACATTTTGAAAACAACCTAAAAATCTATTAATAGGTAATAAATGAATGCTTGTATATATACTGAATGCTGTATTGATATGGAAAGTCCTTTAGGCCATATTTTTTTAAACCATACTTTTTTTAATTGTTCAATCATGGTTGTCCCCATTTTCCCCCCCATTATTTTCCTCCACCCTACCCACCTCCACCTCCCATATTCAATCCTCCCCACCCTACCCCCACCTCTGGGTCTTTGTCCATGGTTCCTTTATACATGTTCCCTGATGACCTTTCCTATTTTTTTCCCCATTATCCCCCTCCTTCCTCCCCTCTCCCCTCTAGTTACTGTCATTTTGTTCTTTTTTTCCATGTCTCTGGTTCTATTTTGCTTGCTTGTTTGTTTTGTTGATTAGGTTCCACTTATAGGTGAGATCATATGGTATTTGTCTTTCACCACCTAGCTTACTTCACTTAGCATAATGCTACATTTTTTTTTAAGTTGCGGAACCGTAAATACAATGTAAAACCACTTAAATAATGCATTTGTATTTATACTTGTATATTCAAATACCCAAGTAGAATGCCTGAAAGTATATGTATAAATCTTGGGAGGATACTGGAGATTGGAAAATGTTCAAAATTATTCTTATTTTACTTGTGTTGTTCAAAGTTTTATGAAGGAATAAAATTTGTGTTAATTGTATAATTAAAAAAAATTAATATTAGAGTCAGAAACTATGTGTTTGAATTATGGCTCTATTACGTACTAGCATATATCCTTTAATAAATCCTTGACTTCTTATAGATCAGTTTTTTCATCTGTAGCCTTTTGTCACATAGAAGTTTTTTTATTTTAATTATTTTTATCAGTTTTAATTTGACTCCTGCATTTTGTTTCTTAGTCATGTTTCCTTTTCTGAGGAAAAATATAATCTATTTTTTTCTATTAGTTTTAAGGCTTTCCATTTTAAAATTAGATTTTAATATATATATATATATATATATAGTTTATTTTACTTTGGTTTGAGATAAGGGTATACTTTTATTTTTACACATAAATAATTAATTTGTTGAAATAATCAGTTCCATTTCCACTGATGTAGAAGGCCATCTCACTCATATATCAAGTTCCCATATTGGGGTGGGTCTTTTTCTGGGCTTTTTACTGTGTTGCATGGCTATATTTATTTTTTTTACTAATAACACATTTTAATAACTTCACAAATTCCTCGATATCTTATAGATCCTCCTCCTCCTCCCTTTTCTATCTTAGCTTTTTCCTACCATTTATTCTACTATATGAAATTTAGAATTAGTTTATCAGGCTTTGCGTATATCCCTGCTGGGATATTGTTTGCAACTTGGAGATGCCAAATAATTTACAGAAAATATATATCATTAAGATATAAACATAATATAGAGGGTGGGGCAAAAGTAGTTTTACAGTTATTAGTATGGAAAATAATACAATAATTAATAAATAAAACAAGAATAAACTATTTTGTATTCTCACAACTTGCCCTACTTTTTACTTAGCTTGGCTTGCTTTTGTTTTTCTATATCCCTTTATAATTTTTTTCACAAAAGTCTTATATATCTTTTGCTACCTTAATTTTAAGTGCCTTATAGATTTTGTTGCTCCTGTGATTAACATTTAAAAATCAATTTTATACTTGAATTTTAGCATATAAAATATTGATTTTGTTATTTTGTATTCAAGTACATCATTGAATGTTTTGTTTTTAAAGCTATCCTTAGATTTTTCAGGAATATTCTCTATATAAGAGTATAGGAAATATAGAAACATTTTATTTCTTCCTTTCAATATTTATAATTTTTATATATGTATTTATTTTGCTGCATACGAACTCAGTGCAGTGTTGAATACAAATGGTTCTAATGGGAACTTTATTTTGTTTCAAACCACAAAAGAAATGCCTCCAAGATTTTAACATTAAGTAAGATGTTTGCTTCAGGTCTTTGGTTGGTTGCTTTTATGAAGTTAAAAAGTTTTCATTTATTTTTAATATCCTAAGAGTTTTAAATTATTAATGGTTTCAAATGCTTTTCTACATATATTGAGATGTGATTTGTGCTGGTTTCAGCCTATGGATAGAGATGCTATTGGCTAGAAATGCCTGGGGGCAAACATCTGAGTCTGAGGTGAGACCCCACAGACATCTCTCTTTTGGAGTCAGTATTGTGGCTAGACTGGCCCTTGTGGGTATTTTATGATTGCAAAACACACCTCAGCAACAACCACCAGGAAACTTCCACAAGGAAGGTTTATTATTCACAGGTCCTGGAGGGCAAAGGGCATGCCTGGGGCAATAGAAGTGAGGTCATGGGTAGGGAGAGCAACCCTGTGGACCTGGGGTTCTGCTTTTCTAGGGGTTGAGTGTGGGGACTGTAGGATTTAGCAGTTTAGCTCTTTATTGGAAATTTAAAATGTAAGAGCAATAAAATGCAGAAAGGGAAAAACAAACCATTAGTCAAATTGTCAGTTATCTAAATCAACCTAAGCTTTTTAAAAAACAAGGGAATGGGGGAAGTAGAAGAAGGTAAAGGTGGGATAAAGGGTGATGGAAGTAGACTTGAGTTGGGGTGAGTGGTAAACATACAATACAATATACAGATGATGTATTGATTATAGCATTGTATATCTGAAACCTATATAATTTTATTAACCAACATCACCCCAATAAATTCAATTTTTAAAAAAGCTAAAAATAAGGGAACTCATGGGTGGTGCAGGTCTTTATCTAGTCTTGTAGTTGACAGTGAGTTTATTGGAGATAGATGTCCTTTAACTGGATGCCTTGGCAATTAAAAGCTTATGTCAGGCACTTACATTACAAAAAAAAAAGCTAACAGGCTACAAGATGATTATTCCTTATTATGTTATTTTGTTGAAATATGTTGATAGGTCTTTTAAATTTAAACCCTTTTGTGTTTCTCGGATAAATTTAACCTGGAAGAGCAAAGCTTCCATTGAGGCTTGTTGGTAAAGTGAAAGGAGGAACAAATTACTTATGTTAAGGTTTGCACTGAAACAAGATTGTATTATAAAATCAGAAGATAGACCACCCTCTCCCTAAGATAATGTTTACTAAAGAAACTTCATAGTTGTTTATCAGATGGAAGAGAGTGCTCTTGAAATTAGAGATGTCTGTATTATACATAGTATTGTGTATGTCTCCTCAAAAGTCACTCAGCCTTGCTTTACCTCAGCCCTTGCCCATGTGCTTCACCTCTGTTTTGGCAGGTTTAGTCAG